CATCGTAACAGATCTCGGTCGCGATCTAGCAGCTCTCGCAGTAGCAGCAGTAGTTCCAGGAGAAGTCAATCGCTCCAGTAGGTATAATAACAGAGATATCACTCCATTTTCGTGGATCAGACCTAGTAACTTTGCTAATATGGTACCACCAACACATCCAGATTATCGTCCAGCCAGGATCGAATACCAACCCATCGACCCATCGCAGCATGTGCTCTTGCCTACAGCTTCTCCCTCTCCAAAAGTAAGCTCTCGTGCTACTCTGAGGTCATCCTATCAATTCTCTCTTTTTATGGCAGTCACCAACAGCGGACACTTCGAGCGTTCAGAGTGGTGGTATTGTGAACCCTCCGCATGGGGCCGTAGCAGATGTTTCGGAAGAGAGTATTGATCCGAATGACTTTGTCAAGGCTGGTCAGCGCGCTGCGGCTATGCTTATGAACTCAGGTGAGCTGATTCCTTGTATATATCGCGTTGACTTTGTTATTGATTAGGTGCGAATCGACCGAAACCAACACCGGTGGTGTCGGGGCCTATCAAGACCATCCCTCAGCGGCGAGTAGAGCTGCGTAACGCCGAGTGCCAGACAACTTCTCGCCCAGATCTTGATAAGAATGCTGTTATCTGGAGACTACGACATAGAAGCAGCATCTGATTACACTAATACCACTGTTATACTTTCTATATATACTGTCGCTCTTGGTGCTCAGTTAATGGGTGATAAGGAGTAGTTTGGGGCTTAGCATATTGATAAAGGATCGTCTAACTTCATCAGTGAGGGTTATAGATGTTAGATTGCACCTCTCGGCTACTCTGTTGTTGGTATTGAGGAATTCAACTCTGCGACAAACCGATATATTGATAACTGTTTTATCCATACATAACTTGGATCTTATACTAATCTTCGTGAAATCATGAAGCTCCATCTATGGTTATGCTTATTGTTATATTGTTATTCACAAATAGCTATAACCATGTATTAATAATGCAATAAGCATATATGTAGAGAGCTTTAACGGTAGGTGATAGTCCACTCGGTCAGTGGAGATTGATTGAACCCAACAAGGCAGAACTTGAGCCAAGATGGCTACGGTTCAACAATATTGATCGTGCAACACTAAATCTGATACCACAGCTGTATACACGTGCCTGCTGGCACACACACATACTCACAAGGAAAGATAGCAGACCTTGGCAGAACACTGTAAACTTAGAGGACTAGAGCAGTGTGAAAATATGTGTTTAGTTTCCTCAGCTGAAGTCGTGAATTTCCTCACTACATTATGGAAATCAACACACGATTTTAGGTAGAAGTGCACAAAAATCAAAGATATTTCCTCAAGCTTTGAGTTCGTAGCTCGTAGCAACACCAGGGAGCTCTGATAACCCTCGCAACCCTGTGTAGTAATGTGAAGATGCGCTCTAATTGTGTAATTATATCTTCTTATCCTTAGCTACGTAACGAGCTAAAGGATCGCTTATTGGGTGAGAGTCAAGAATGTGTGTTGTTACTTTTTCTTATGCCCACTA